TTACCAAGGGGCAGGATGCAGTCTGCTAGGGGCTGGGGGGACAGCAAGGCTCTAATTGGCCCGAGGTGAATTATTCACATGTCTAATCCTCGTGGAATTTCAGCTTGGGCAGTGCCAGTAAATGCTGTGCATGTTTAAAAGTCATTTCCATAAGTAAGTGCAATTTCTCTACTGTTTGCCCCTGTTTAATGAAGTGAAATCTTGTTTGCATTCCTCCCAATTTCCCAACGAAAAGCGCCCAACCATTAGCGCCAAAATTACACCGCCCGAATTAAAACTCGGGCTCCAGGGAGCCGAGGGAGGGCAGTGCTGCCCTGCTGGGAGGCCGGCGAAGGGTGGGGCAGCAGGGGGCTGGCGCCGGTTTCTCAGCTCATTACTGCCCTGCAGTTTTTACAGTTTCAGGTGTCCCCCACCATGTTCCCCATTCCACTTGTCCCCATCAAATTCTTGCCCTCTTTGGCTTCTTCTTCTTAAAGAGAACACCCTGGGGTACAAGAACAGGCTATGCTGTGTTTGTTCATGTATATTTAAGTGGCCACTATATGAATTTACATCTACATGCACACATATCTCTCCATGCACGCACATATATTTCTATATGTTCATGTGTGTTCTCATGAGTACTTGTGAAACTGATAGACAATCACCTGTGACTACTGAAACACAATGATTCCCACAGACACACATTGCAATAACAAATACAAGTGGCTATATACATACGTTTACTCAAGAATCCCTGCCAGTGTATGTGTGGATCTGCTCTATGTGTGGGGCATGCTGCACGTGTCCGGATGGGTGGTCACACGGAGCACACGGATTGCGAGGAGAGGAAGGTGTCTATGCAGTGCTGTCTCACCGAGGCCTACTCCTTCCCAGGGGGTGCATGGCCCCTCCGCCCTCCAGCAGCTGGTTGCACTGTGACCACAGGGTGGAATCACGTCCTGACACTCTATCCCCGATATCACCCACTGACCCAGTGTGGGCCTGCAGGGTGACTGACTCCCTACAACTCCAGCTCACAGAATGGAGTGTGAACAAAGGTGCTCCTGAGTGGCCTGGCAGAAGAACCCCTCCAGGGCCACCTCCCCTAGTTCCAAATGGCCAGGCCATGAGGGTCACTTTGGTACTGAGCCCAGAACCCAATTGCACATTGCCTTTAATGGGATTCCCTGAAAGAGTAGTGGGCATTGAGAGGGCAGGAAAACGGGCCCACCACCAGGCCTTCCCAATGACCTTGGAATCCTCACCAGAGGCTGGCTGGGCCTTAGGATTCGGAGAGTTCCAGCTCTCGCGGCAAAACAGTGAGTGCTATGGCTTCCCTGCATGTCTGTGCGTCTTTGTATTCGTGGGTGCCGCTGCCTTCACCAGTATGGCCACCCTCTGCTGCCCCTGCTCCAGCTGACCGCTCAGCCTGGGCAGAACACAGCCACAGTGACACCATGACCTGCAGACAGTAAGCCTCTGCAGGCTCGCCACTGCAGGAGGCTGTCGGGGCCCCTGGCAGAAGCTCCAGCTGTTGGCTGAAGGTCTGGGGAAGAGGATCATTCTTAGGTGAAATCCAAAGGAAAAGAAATGCCGAAGACCTGGTCATTAAGAGTGGAGACTTCCTGGGAGAGGTGAGAGAGGAGACCTCAGGGAGCAGGCCTGGGGCAAAGTGGCCTCCCGGGCATGCACCCTCCCCACCTACCTTTTCCGTCGTGCATTCTGCCATCCACGGAAACATCCCAAACCACAACTCTGAGGTCTGCCTCCACAGTCCAGAAGCCACCCATGGCTTCCCACTGCCCAGAAAACAAAGTCCATAGTCCTTCTGCCTGTGGACAAACCCAAGCCCTGCACAATTGGCCCTCCCTTTCTACCAACCTGCTCTTCCAGGCATGGTTCTCAGTGATGCTCCTGGCACCCTCAACAGACCTCCCATGCTGCATGCAGCCACATAAGGAAACTAGATATTTCCCCAACTTTCTTCTCTTTTTTCCCCATCCTACTTCCTGCCTGTTGGAATCCTAAGGTTCATCAAGGCCAGGTTTGGTGCCACTGCTCCCGGACCTTCAAGCCGGCCCCACGGTGACTACTACCAGTACGAGCAATGATTCCTGGAGTTTGATTTCTCCACCTCTGCAGTAGGGAGTTCTTGTCCTTCTCCTCGCCTGCTGAGGACCAGACTTGTTGGGTGCCATCCTCTTCAGCACAAGGCTTTGAGCAGCCCTGAGCGAGGGAGAGGGCAGCTGACAACGGGGCTTTGTGATATCTGATAGCAGAGCACGTGGAGTGCTCCACAGGCTTGGGAGCTGTGTCAGGGGTCCCAGCCCAGTCCTCCACGGCTCTCTTCTTTGGGCCAGTTCTCTCTGGGACCTCAGGAAATGTCCACCTCATGCCCTTTGCAGGAGAGGATTGGGCCTTCCTGCTACTGAGGAGGCCCCCATAGCCGTGAAGGAGCTTCTAGATGGAACTGACACACCTCCGTGCTGCAGGCTGCTAGTCTCATTAAGGAAGGCCTTCTCAGTAGGGGAGACTGCAGTTAACGCGCTGACAGCACCACTTCTCTCCTGGGCCTGCCTTTGGTATTAGTACACCCGGGCCTCCCAGCAAGGATCCCCAGCCCCCCCACCAGGTCCTCCAGTCTTCCCCAATCAGTTACTACTGACCCTCTGTTCCCCCCATTTAGCCCACCCTTTCAGTCCCCGACTCCTGGATGTCCCACCTCCAAATCTCCATTAACCTTCTTGATCCCCTGCCCACTAATTCTCCACCTGAACCCCCCTGCCCTCTGACCCATCCCGGCCCACACCGCCAGGCCCTGGCAGAACAAGCACCTGGCATCACAAATCCACCGCAGCGGGCTTGGCCCGCCACTGCCCCAAGCCCACATAGCCCGCTGGGTGCCGGAGCAGGGGCTGGGCAGCGTGGGTTCCGGGCAGGAAGGAGGCGTGGGCTGCAGCCTGGAGTCCCCACAAGGCCCCTCCGCAGCAAGTCTGGGAACTCGGCCCCCACCCGCCCTCTCCGCTTCCATCAGAATTCAATTTCCGCCCGTAAGTGACTCCGCGGGCCCCTGATCCTTCCCGTGAGGAATGAGCCGCCCAGCCCGGGCCGTCCGTCACCCGCCGCCCTCGCCTCGGCCCCTGCTCCAAGGCCTGGTCGCCGTCGCCCCCCCCCCCCCCCCCGTCCCCGCCTCGCTGTCCCTCCCTCTGTCTCTCCCTCTGTCCCTCCCTCCCTCCGCTCCCTTCCTCCTTCGCTCCCTCTAACACCTCTATTCATCTCTGGGAGCAACATCATTTATTTTGCACTTCCCAGATAATTTACTTTTTTTCCCTTCTACAGGAATTCTCCATTTCCCTATAAAATGAAAATTCATCTAGAATTACATCTTATGTCATCATTATGTTTATTAAGCGTGGATGATGTATATGAACAGGACGGGCTTGCTGCTGAGTGCTTAATGGTGCATAAGATTAAGCCGAGGCTCTCAGCTGCGCAGCGACTCCCCTCCGGTTCCCCGTGGTCGAGGCATGCTGGGAGGACCAGTTCCGAGCGAGCGCACGGCCAGGTGAACGCGCCGGCCCCCGCCCAGCGCCCAGCCCGCCCGGGCCCAGGCGGGCGCCGGCGGGCGGGGGCAGCCTGGCCGCGGCCCGGTCGCCCCAGCGGGGACCCTCGCCCTCCCTGGTCGTGTCGGGGCCGCCTCTTGGCCTCTTCCGGGCCCCCACGCCCGACCCGGGGACTCGGCGTCCCCTCGGGCCCCGCTCCCGGGCCGCGTCCGTGCGTCCGTCCGTGCGTCCGTGCGTGCGTCTCCCTCTCCTCCCTGTCCCTCTCCCTCTCCTCCCTCTCCCTCTCCCGGCGCTGGCGGCCACCGCACTGCAGCGTGGCACCAGCAGTCTATGACAAAAACATTATCCTTCTGCTGCTAAACAATCCAATAAACCTCTCCACAGGGAGAAAGTTAACCTCTTGTCTCTTCGGCTGATGCCTTCCCGCCCACGTGACTGCTGCCACAGTAAATTCAAATCATTAGTCTCCTCACCCCATCAAAAAACTTCTATTAGTAATGGAGACCTCGCCGGAGACCTTCCGCGGAGAGCGCTGCCTTCCCAATTCCCAGTGGAAAAATTCTGCGCGAAAAACTAATTCTACTTTTAATAATCTGTCATCAGGACCAGAGGCAGTCATAAATTATATGGGAGCGCGTGCGAGAGCGCGCCACAAGAGGGAAATCAGGGCGAAAAATCAAAGCCCAAGTTTGACAAACTTTCCCGAAGATAAATAATAACTTACAACAGGATTAGTTGTAAAGTCACGCTCCGGCGCACAGCCACGGCGGCTCTCACGTCTGCGAGGGCGCCCGCCGAGGCACCTGTCACCGGCCGCCCCCCGCCGCCCTCCCCCCGGCGCCCTCCCCCCCTCCTCCCTGGGGCCTGCAGCCCGGGCTCACCTGTCTGCCCGGGGAAGGCCACCTCAGAGGAAGGGAGCCCGCTTCCCCTCCCTTCCCGCCCGCCTCGGGCCCCAGCTGCCGGGACCAAGGTCAGGGGAGGGACACAGGCTTCGCGGGGGTCTCGCTCTCTGGGGCCGTGACCTCGAGTGGGCCCTGGGTGGGGGCCGGGAAGGTGGGCATCGCCCTGGGCCCCTGACCCCGACCCGGGGGCCGTGCGGGGTGGGGCGTGGCCGACCGCACGGACTGTGGCCGCTGGGGTCGAGGTTCGCTCCCCGCGCCCGGAGACCCCTCCCCCCGCCCCGCCCCGCCCCGCACAATCTCGGCGCTGACAGCCGAGCGGGTGATAAATGCCGGCGACGCGGGGAAGGAATTGTGCAAAATAAAGAAGCATGTTCCAACAAGTCCTGTCAGGATTGTATTGATTTAATCATCTGCAGAAATACACATTCTGGATTACTGTAGCGTGCCGGGCCGGGCGCGGGCGGACGGAGTGCTGGCCCCGCCCCCGGCCCCGCCCCCGGCCTCGGCTCGCCACCCACCGGCCGGGGGCGGGGCCAGCTGGACCAGGGGCCTCTGGACCCCTGGCCAGCCCCGGCCGACTAGGTGGGCCTCGTGATCGGATCCTCGGTGTGGCCTCGTGGCCACCAGGAATCCCAGTGCTGGACGCGCCCCAGGAGACCAGCGCCTCTCCCGACTGGAGAACGCTGGAGGGTCCTGCCAGGTGGGAACCTTCGAGCCTGCGGGTGTTTGCAGGCCCAGGCGGTCCAGTACCGCCTCCCGGTGTGGCTGGCCGTACTGCGGCTGCTTCAAGGGTGGGAGACCTTAGCTTCCGACAGCCCGCGGGGAGTTCAGCTCCACCAGCACTGAGAAGGTGTTCGGCAAAGTTTAAACCGACAAACAGCTTCCACTTTTGCTCCATAATCCAGCGGTGCTTAGCCCCCAGGGCGAAGACTTGGCGCTGGACTGGATTCTTTTGTTGGAGAACCTGACCCTTTGGAAGAAACACAGGCATGGAGAGGTGGTGAAGGGGTGAAGAGATTAAGCAGCCCCCAGAGGGGAAACCCAAAGGAAAATGGAGGAAAGAAATTCATTGATTTATTTAATATAATAAATAAACCCAGCACGGGAGGCTGAGGCAGGAGGATAGCCAGAGCTCGAGAATAGCCTGGTCTCCACAGTGAGTTCAAGGCCAGCCTGAACCACGTAGCGAGACCCTATTTCAACCCCCCTCCGCATTGATTTAGTACATTAAATCTCATGGATATGTCCAACAACCTGAATTGGCCACCTTTAATATCCTACATTCACAGGTGAGAAGCCAAAGTCCAGAGGTCACGTGACGAGGCCATCTTGTGGGAAGTTGGGAGCCAGGCTTCCAGGCCCGGCCTGCCACAGCGCACGCCTCTCCCGTTTAGGAGAGGACCACGGGATGACAGGGAGACGCGTGTGAGGAGCACAGCCAGCCTCGTCTGCTGCAGACCCCGGGGCGAGGGGCGCTGGTACCGGACCCCTCCCTCTGGCCCTGAAAACCACAAAGAGGGCCCGAGAGTGAGGGGCAGGAAAGGGGAAATCATGGGGAGTGAGGACTGCCGACAGACCTCAGAGCAGGAAGTGTTGCCACGCCTGGAGTTAGATCATTTTTGGAGGGCGAGGGGACTTCATCCCTCCTCGCCAAGGGCCCCTCCTCCGCAGAAAGCCGAAGGGTGGGCAGTGACAACTGAAAGCACGCGGGAGGAGGCAGACAATCGGAAAGACAGGCCTTTGGGTCCCCGAAAGCCACAGTAGGAGTAGGTGTGAACGAGACAAGAGGTAGGAAAAGAAGAGGTCGTTTATTCCTTTGCCCTGAGGGGAGGGGCCGTGGACTAAGCCAATAGAAAGAGGGATGAAGCATCTGCCCCTGTCGTGCACGGTGCTGGCTCCAACCCATTCTTCCTCCACTAGAGCTTTGTACTCAGCAAACACCCCCCACCCCCTACCCCAGTCAGCCAGGAAGGGCAGAGGGACACATCTGCTGATGGGAAGACATCTTTTAGATGCGAGCCGCCGTTCTGAGCACTTTACGCACGCATTAGCTCAGTGCTCATAACAGGCACGAGGTGGGCAACAGTACACCTTCATTTTACGAACCCGGAAACTGAGGCCCAGAGCGCTGTCTTGCTCTGCTACAGGTCACAGTAAGCAGCGGCGGGTGGATGCCCTGAGCCTGCGGCTTCTCTCCAGACCTGTGGACCACCTGTGACCTTGACCCGCGCCTCCCGGGCCTGCGCCTCAGTCTGCGCCTCTGTAAAGCGAGAAGATTGGGCCGATGCTCCCCCAGATCCCTTCCAGACGCAAAGGCAAAGACGAGGCGTGCGGGTCCTCCCCGCGCCACCGCGGCCCACTCACCCCTCAGCCCACGGCCCTCAGCCAGCCCCACGCAGGGCCTCGCGCGCTCGCCCCGCCCCGCGGGCCGCGCGTGACTTTAGCGCGCGGCTCGGCCCGGAAGGTGACCTCCTTCATCACGGATTCCATTTGCATCCGGAATCGCATGTACATGAAAAATGTGTCCGCGTGCGGCCCCGACTGCAGACGCAGATGAAATTCTGTGCCGAGCCTGATGCGCGGTAACCTTTGCAGATGGCGCCGCTATTGCTGAGAAATGGATTGCTTAATAAAGCGTATCATCCGGCATATTTGCTGCTTGGCTAGCCAAATAGAAGTTGTTTTTTGCACAAATTTCCTTGTCAAATTTGTCAATGTTCATGTCATTTTTGCTTTAGGTCACAGAGCAAGGTGCAAATTCCTGGCATCTTTACTAGTTGCAGCCAATTCCGGCGATTTCGGCGGTGACGAGGATTCTCGGAGGACTTGGCGCCAGCGCCCGCAGAGCGCAGCCCACGCCTCCTCCCGGAAGCCCGCCTGCCCGGGCCTGGTTGGGCCCGGAGGGGGCTCAGGCCCCGGCTCAGCGCCGCACTCGGCGTCCCTCCCCCGCCGGGGGGCGGCGGGACCACTGAGCTACATCCTGGCCCTGTCCTGGCTTTTTTAAGGAACTTCCCTCCCAGCGCTCCGAGGCTTAGCCCGGCGGGCCTCTGCCGCGCTGCGGAGCAGATCCGGAGGGAGAGCAGGGCTGGGAGAGGAGCCCCCACATTCCTTCCTAGCCCCACGCCCACTTTGAGCGGCACTAGGTGTCCCCACTTCCCCGGGAATCGTGGGCAGACAGACATCTGCAGACGGTCAGGATGTGAGCAGGGCGCCTTCCGGGAGGGAGAAGCTGGTTTCCCCGCTGGCCCTGAATCGCCCTTCGCACTCAGCTCCTCACAGCTCACCCGGCAGCCTGGCGGCCCAGGGTCAGTGCGCATGTGCGGGGGAGGGGGGTGTCAGTTTACCTGCACTCGGCCGACCTCGACCACGAGCAGCCAGGCTCTGTGCTGAGCTGATTCTGGGTTATCTCATAATATCGTGCTTAACCACCCCACGAGGCGTTCGGTCTTGCCGTCCCCATTTTAAAGTTGCAGGGTCAGCTCCAGGACTCGGGCGCACCATGGGCGTGCAGGCGAGCTTTGGAGCCTGGCCGGGGGGGGGGGGGGGGCTGAGGAGGAGGAGGACGAGGAGGAAAGATGGATGGCAGGAGAAGGGCCCAGCGGAGCAGGCAGGTGCGGGGCTGTGGACTCAGGACAGGCATCTGAGAACATGTATGGGGCACAGACGCGGAGAGGCTGTGCACAAGTGTCTGGCTGGGATGTGAAAGGCCAGCCTTATGGGAAGCCTTGCGAATCCCAGCTCTGAGCAGGCCCGTGGGGAAGCAGCATGAAGGCTGGCACGCCGGTGTCTGCGCCCGCTGCTGTAGTCCCAAAGCCACCCAGGGCTGGAGCTCCAGATGTGTTCGCCCAGAGACTGAGCGGGCAGAGCCAGCTGGGTACAGGCGAAGGCCGAAGTGTGTTACACGGGGGAAAGGGGTGGGCAGGCTTGCGGAGGCATTCTAGCGAGGACTGCCAGACCTGCCTCCCCCGACGGGCCGGGCCGGGGTGGGAGCATGGTGAACTGGGGGTTGCGAGGGTCAGATGATGGCGGCGGGGGCGGGGCTCCCGTCACGTTATTAATGGCCGGCGTCCACTCAATTAAATCCAGCCTGCTTTTGTTGGCAGGCCTCTGCAATTACGCATCTCATTGCGGGCGGCCGCCCAAATGCATCCTGGGAGAAGACCAGCACTCCAAATTAACTTTTCTTGGCGCTGCGGGGGCTGGTTGGCCGGCACTGCCTGCACAGCAGCCAATCAGGGTTGGCTCCAAGGGGGGCGGGTCAAAAGGTGGGGGAGGGTAGCCAGCCTGGCGGGGTGCTGCAGGCCCAGCACCCAGCACCCACAAGGCCTCCCGCGGGACTCCCACCGAGGAGCCGGCCGGTGTTCGGGCTGCCCCTCGGAGTGCGTCGGACCTTTGTCCCCGCTGCTCTGAGAGGGAAGGTCACCCCACCCGGAGCACAGAGCCCTGAAAGCACAGATGCCCTGGAGCGAGGGCGCTGGTGTGGAGCAGGCGCCTGGGGTGCGAGCCCCGCTGAGTGCCCCCCTCGGGTGTGCGTGCTTGTGTGGGTGTGCGCGCGGGAGGCCCTTCTAGCCTGCCTCTGCTGTTACACCGCCGGTATAAAGCGCTTCATTAACCTGTCCATCAAAGCCCATTTCTCCCGCTCTGCCCTCCCTGCAGAGCCCCTGCTGTGCCTTCTCCCGCACCCCCACCTAGCATGGCTGCTGCTGCCTCCCAGAAGGCCCTGGGCCCTGTGTTGCCTGTGTGTGGCCGTGCATTCACAGAACACCATCTTTTCACATGCGTGGCCTTGCATCCGGCCATATGTGTGTCAAGAGTGCCTGTCCTAAGGCACCCTGGACTAGTACAAGAGTGCCTGGCCCTCAGCTGTGTGACCCTGGCCTTGTCACCTTCCCTCTCTGGGCCTGAATGTCCTCCTCTGTGTTGGGTCGCATGGGTTGGACTAAGGGATCCCTGACGTCCTTCTCTTCTGATCTGCTGAGTTCCAGTGAGCACACATGTGTGCAGGAGTGTGTGGGTTCTCTCCTGCTGGTTTCCCTCCCAGAGGCAGAGGCAGCACAGCAGTGCCCCCAGAGCCCACCACAGCTCTCCTGACTTAGAAGCCTTTCTGAGACCCCACGTGCCACCACCCACTCAGCCACTGTAGCTCAGGGTGGCCGGCTTCCAAGGTCTGCCCATGTGTGTGTGCGAGGGAGGCACCCACACATGGCACATGGGGCCAAGATGGGGCCAGCAGTGCCCACCTTGCAAAGGGCACCCCAACATTCAGGGTCACCTAAAAATCCCAAGCTTCGCATTATGGGGACCTGGCCTTGCTCCCACGTGCCAGGCCCTCCTTGGGGAAAAGGGGTGCCTTCTGTGATGGGGAGGGCTCTGTTCTCCCCACTTGTGGTTTCTTTATTGTGTGTTAATGAAACCCTGTTTCTTCTGGGCGTTTAATTCTTTCCATCTATTATGTTTAGACAACTCATTAACAATCATTCGTTATAATTAGACTTCAATTTTAGGCTCCTTTCTCAAGGGAGGCAATGCAGAGCTTTTACACATATTTGCATCATAGACAGCTTCCAAATCTCTGGGTGCCGCCCCCTCTAGCCATTTTCCCTCCCTCCCTCCCTCCCTTCCCTCCCTCAGGAGTGCTTACTCCCTGCCCCAAATGTCAGGGTGAGGATGGAGAGAGGACCTGGGTGTACCAACAGGACCCCCAGACCCTGCTGCTCCCAAAGTCTCCCTGGCCCAGGCCTGGCCCTGGCTGAGTGAGTCTAATGTGTGAATGTGGGGGTACTGAGCTAGTGCGTCCTCTCCCACCCCAGGGCTCTCTGGCTGCTAGTTCTTTCAGTGTCCCAGGCAGAGTCATATACATATGACTGTGTATGCCCACATAGACACACATGCACACATGTAAACCAGACATGCACAACCACTTAGGGGGTGGCAGAGGGTCTCTTGTGAGGATTGTTTTTCCCCAATTCA